CAGTATATATATATATATATATATATATATATATATATATATATATATATATACTAAAATAAACTACTAATTACTACTTGTACAACTATTCTTACTTCGCAGATTTCACTTATCGCGGGGCTTCAGGGTACGGAACCCCAGCAATAAACGAGGGACTATACTGTAAACAAATGCATGTGGCAGTTGGCAGCATTCAAAAATTTATTTATTTTTATTTATTTATTTTGTATTTTAAGGACACATTTCCCATCAATATAAGAAAAAAAAAATAGGCAGATTTAAATTCTTACTTTAGGGGGGACAAAATTTTACTGGTCTTCATGACATTAAACGGGTAACTGAAATAAGAAACAGTCCTTATGACATAAATCGGCTCATTTAAGTGTCAAAGCAACTAGATTTAAACCAGATCTCTGTATCACAAAGTTGACCTTTGAAAAAACAATTCACTGAAAAGGTGAAACATCAGCTCAGTTTGCTCTGAGAGATGAAAATGTCATGCAGTTTGATAAAAGTTAACACACCTGGCACTGTATACAATTCAGAGTTTTTGGTATTATTTCAACTATGTCTGTTTTATTTAAACTCCTAAAGTGACAACTGAATGATAGTTTACTTTCACTTTAAATGCAGTCCTTAAACCAGCTGTTGTCAACAATCTGTAGAAACAATACACACACGTAGGCTTCTTGATTGCAGTTAATGAAAATGCATTTTTATCTATGTGAATTTACACGTTAATCAGGAAAAAAATGACATATATTACTCGTTTTAATTTTACACACAAAAGTGGTTAGTTTTATTCCCATCGCCATTTATTTTTTCCCGTTAGTAATGACAAGATTTGTGAGTGTGTTAACTACATCATTTATTATTATTTATTATGTTGTCAACACTTTTAACACATCGTGTCTAAATTAATTTGATTAATTATCACTTCATACAGCAATAATTACAGATTTTACCATTTTATTTTTCATACCAGTCGCAAAAATGTTAGATAACAATCAAGCAGTGAGGATGCACTGGGCCACTCCCAGTCTGTTAGACTGAAAGTCCTTTATAGTCTGCATGAAGAACGAGGCTTCGTGAGCTCATTATAAACTCCCAGATGTGTTGCCTCCATGCCAGCTGCTTACAGTGTTGTGTGTGTGGTTACCCAGTTGGTGCCACACCAAAGCAGAATTAATGGAGCATTCAGGCCCTGCTTGTTATTTACCAGAAGGTCAAGGTCTTCATTAAAATGCTGCTGACCACTAAAAAGAGCAAGCCTGTAACCTGCAGTGAAATGCATCTATGAATATTTGTTTTTTGGTGCATCTGAAGGATTTACAGGTTCAATTCAATTCCCTGAAAGCTTTCCCAGCTGCACTTCTAAATGCTCTATTTCCAATAAGCCCCATTTACATTTTTAACAATAATTAATTCAGATTTGGCTAAGCACAATGGCTGATCTAATCAAATGATCCATATGTTTGACGGCTTCAGGAGCAATAATCAAGTCATCCAGTAAGTTGTGTTTTCTGCACAAAGGGCTAATGAGACCTTTTCAGATCTTTGACAAGGCCAAGAATAATATTTGCATATAAAGTGTATGGTGTCATTTAGCATTGTTCTGTTTGAAGTTGCTCATAAACTGTTTTGCCCTGACTGGCAGACACTTTTTCAATTTAAACAAAATTCAACAATAGGCGTAGGTACGAAAGCTGTGTAACAATAACGTGGTGGAGGTTTGTCATCATCCTTTATGCTCCCGTTACTCTTTAACCCACCAGGTGAGAGCAGCTCAAGGCACCACAGACATGTGAGCCACACATCCATAAACCTAATCAGACAGAGGATGAGGTCAAAGTTGGATTTATGGATTGATGTTTACAACCTTGTAAAAATGCATCAGTACTCATTAACCCGTGAGAAAAAACATTGCTCTCATTTGTGACAGTTCTGGTCACGTGACGCTGAGCTGCAGGGCTCAGGTGTTTAAAAGACGGCCGAGGGAAAGTGAGCAAGCAGACACACTGAGCAGGGCGACTGCTGAGAACAACAAGAAACAAACAGGCTGCAAAACAAACTGCTGTTAGCTGCCACCATGAAGGCCACAATCACCACCATTACACTCGTTGTCCTGGCTCTTGGCATGACTTCTGAAGCTGTGCAAGTTGAAGTAAGTTCTCCTTTTTTGCATGATCTTGACATGAGCATGTGTCTCATCATTTGATCTGATGAGAGCACCGGACTGGATGGTATTCTCTGCCCATTAGGAGAGGGACCGTTATTGCAGAAATACTGATGCAAACAAAAGTCATGCATTAAGCACTTAAACTGCATGTTACTTAATATATTTACAAAAATGAGCCAAAATCTCTTCTTTGTTTCAGGAAAATGGATTGTCTTTCTCGCTGGAGGCTGTTAAAAGATTGCAGGAGCTGGCTGAGAGCAGAGCAATGACCGGACAACAAAGCCCACGGCTCCGGGCGAGCACCATGTCCTTCTGTGCTGAGCCCATGCTGCCTCAGGAGCTGCTGCCCCTCTGTAAGCAGAGAGGAGGCTCTGCTTCCCTGATCAGACTAGGTGAGATTATTATAATTTCATGAATTCAAATAAGGGCTGGTTTGAAGGGTAGAAGGCCACATCAGGTCATGAATGTAAAAAGCAACGACTCAGCAGAGACTGTTATTATTATTATTGTCTTTATTTCAGCTGCGGTTCCCATGGATGTGTGTGAGATCTGTGCGTTCGCCGCCTGCACTGGTTGCTAAAAACACTTTCTGCCAGCCTGAGACGCCTCGCCTTGCTTAAGACTACTGATTCTTCCCCCTCCAATCCCCTTGATACCTCGTTCAGAAAAATTATATTATTTTTTTACTCGCTATGATGAGCCAAAGGCTTCATCTATGAAATCTGATGCTGCCCAGTTTGGCGTCTGATAAAATATTTTACCGTTAGTTCGAAAATGTCACAAAAAATAAAATCCAGACTGAGGAATGTTCTGAAAGCTGTTACTATTTAAATCTGTTTATTTTTCTGCCAACAGCCCTTTACCAAACTGTCTATTTTTGCTTTTTATGTTGTATGTTACATTTCTTGTGCCTTGCCTCATAATATTTAAAAAATGTTTTCTTTTTACGTTTTTCCACTTATATTATTGTTGTGTTAAATAAAAGCTTTTATCAGTGAACTGAGCGTACATTGTTCTCTTTCATGGAAATTGTTATTACTGTTAATGCCATAATTAACTTTATACATTTTTGTGGAAAGAAGTTCTCTTTTTAATTTATATACAAATATGGATATGTTGGTCCCCTTACAGCTCAATGGAGCAACACTTTATTATTTGCAAAAGTGATTCCATTAAAGCAATAGTTAAATCTTTAAAAAACTGAAAATTGTGAAAAAGTTTTATTTATCTGTCACTTCAGAAAGTGAAACTCATCTATTACTTTAGGGGATTTATTATACATAGAGTGAAATACAAAGTACTTCAAGCGTTTATTTCTTATAATTATGCCATATGGATAGTGAAAAAACTAAATTATGTGTCTCGGTGTGGGAGTTCAGTTCTCTCAGCTTCCTACAGTCACAAGATGGCACCAACAAGCCACACCTGTGGACCATCGCCCTGATGAGCTGTAGGAGTACAAAAGGCTGCAGAAGACCTCCCTTCGCTGCTGAAGCATTACATGCCTGACGCATGAACTTCTGCTGCCTCTGTTCGTGGACTCTCATTGTATGACCTTGAGTTGTGACTTCCTCAGCTGTCTCCTCGCCTTCCAGCCATTTACCTACCTCTAACTCTCCTCGGACGGCTTCCTTCGCTCACTGGAACCATTGGATCTGTTGCTCCTTGGACAATCCACAACTCCTCCTGAAAGAAAGAAAACTGTTACTCACCACACCTCAAGTTACCCATACTGAACCTTCTCCTCGCTCTCCAGGGTTCCAGCCCCTCACCGTGCACATTGCTGAATATATCACTAGCTATGTTTACATGTGCAACATTTTTTGACCGGATTATGTTTTCAGATTAAATAATTCAAATGTATTGTTTACAAGGGCACAATCTGTTCATGACGAGCGTTCACATGCAGCAGGCTTTGTTCTGAACAGAAGTACTGACATGCGCAGAGTGGTAAACTCTCCTTTAAAAAAACACAGAAGAAGAAGTTCTAATTCCGGTTTACTTCCGGGATGAACTTAAACAAACCTGAGTGTCCAAAATGGACCCGCGACAGGTTTTAATGACGGTGGAGATGTTGCTGCACTCCCTGACTGAGCTTCAGGTGATACAGATCATTTTGAGCTCTTTCAAAGTTTCCAGTAGAAATGTTGTGTCGCTCAACGACCAGTTTTGCTTCCACGACATGCTAATATTATTAGCATTAGCCAGGCGGAAATGACAAAGTCGCACATGCGCACTAGGTCAGTTTTCACCATCAGATAAAAACGAACAGATCAAGTGTTTACATGCGCACCATTCGGCGGATGAATCGGCGTAAAGCACCCGTTTCGTTTTGATCACAAATGATTTTGGATCACGCTGAATAAACAAAAAATAAACAAAAAATAACTCGAACGGGGCGTTTACATGACACGTTTTTATCCCGAACGGCCGTTTGATCCGATTACTTATGTCCATGTAAACGTAGCTACAGTACTGTAACTAAACACTGATAACTTTTACCTGGTCTTGAAGCCTGTTCAATTCAGTCCATATTCTCTGGGTATACTGTTAAACTTTACGACTGTCGGCGAGGAAGAGGGCCAGCACCGGAGGAGGGGGCATGCCAAAAACACCATCTTAGCACCAACATAACTGGTTTGTTCCACTTTGGAGTAAGCTGTTGGGGGAAGAATCGTTTTTTTTGTTGTGTGTTTCCTTGACTGATGAAGCCTTCTGGATGGAAGGTGAAACATTCAGATGACCTGATTGAAAATTGTTGTATTGCATACCTGGATTATTGAGTCACACTCAGAAAATTAGAATATTCCACAGCCAGCTTTTGGTACCTCTGTCAGTGTGGGCAGGAGCCGAGTCCTGCTGGAAAATGAAATCAGCATCTCCATAAAGCTTGTCAGCAGAAGGAAGCACCAAGTCTACAATAACAATAATAATAATGTGTTATGTGTTGTCATCATTGTATGTTCCCATACAATGATGAAATTGTCTCTCTGCATTTAACCCATCCTTCCCCAGGTGGAGCAGGGGGCAGCTATTGAGGGCACCTGGGGAGCAATTGGGGATAGAGTGTGCTGCTCAGAGATACCACAAGATGTGCAGTGACTTGGGGATTGAACCTTGGACTTTCAGGTCTCGAGTCGGCTGCCCTGCATCTACCCCATCTCGGCCCCAAAATGTCCTGGTAGATGCTGCGTTGACTGTGGACTTCAGAAAACACAGTGGACCAACACCAGCAGAGGACATGGACCCAAACCATCACTGACTGTGGAAACTTCACTCTGGACTTGAAGTAACGTGGATTCTGGGCCTCTTCACTCTTCCTCCAGAGTTTGAGACCTCAATTTCCAAATGATGTGAAAATGTACTTTCATCTGAAAAGAGGACATTGAACCACTGAGTCCAGTCAGCAGGTAAGACACTTCTGATGTCATCTCTGGTTCAGGAGTGGCTGGTCTTGAGGAATGAGACATTTTATAGCTCATGTCCAGGAGTTAACGAGCTGATTAGGCTGTGAAACCAGGAGGGTACAATACTGAATCACTTCAAAATATTCTAATTTTCTGAGACACTGAATTGTGTTTTTTCATTATCTGTAAGCCATAATCATTGAAATGACAAGAAATAAAAGCTTGAAATATTTCACTCTGTGTTATGAATCTATAAAAAACATGAGTTTCATTTTTTAAATGACTTTTTTTTTTTTACTTTTTCACGATATTATTATTTTTTTTAATTCGCCTTTATTCTGTATGTGAAAAGTAAACAAACAAATAAATAACTGGCCTTGGAACTGATTTTTATTTTATTTTACAAAGATATGCTAAAATAGTTTGAACAGATTTGTTGGTTTTGCATTTTAGTCATATTTCAAGTAAACTGTGACTGTAATTAGTAGCAATGGTGCTTTAAAACTTTTCATTGGTCATTAAGCTTATTTAAAAGGAACAAAAAGCTGCTAGGTAGTTTGGTATTGTTGTGTTTACCACACTGAACATAGGCCAGAGAATGCAAAGGTTACAGTTGAGGCAAAAATTAAATGGTACAAGACCATCTCTAAGCAGCTTTATAGTCCTCTGACCACAGTGTTATGTTGTTTATTTGTTATATGCAGGTTAATACAAGGTCATCAATGTCATGAAATGTTCAGGATGAGAAGAATCAATTTGATTTGTTAAAAACAAAAAGACAAGCTAACAAGAAATACTAAAGCATGCAGTAAGGGTACAAAATAAACTAGAAAAAAAGAGTAAAATTTACTAGATTCAAAAGAAATATAGTAAACAACAACATGGTAGAATATAACGGGCCAAGAGACTTCTTCAGTCTGAGATCTTGCAAAAAGATCTCAGACTGAAGAAGTCTTTTGGATAAAAGACAAAACATTTCAACAAACCAGAATTCATCCAGAGGACCTGACTGAACCTCGTTAGATAAGGTTGACTGTAGCCAACCTATCAAGATGTAGACACAAGAGGACGTGCAACTTCAGTTTGATCCGGCAAGTATTGAGGAAAACAGCCAATAGAACCATCCAAGTGAGGCAGCACGGTGGAGCAGTGACTGGAGCTGTTGCCTCACACTGAGAAAACTCTACGGACACTTCCTGGATTGGGGCCTTTCTATGTAAAGTTTGCTTGTTCTCCCCATACATTCATCTCCAGTCACTTGGTTTCCAGTGTTGTTTCATGTTAGGTTCATGGATAACTACATCGTACCCGGGTGTGAGTGAGAGTGTGAATGGTTGTCTCGTGTGTCTCTGTGTAGACCTGTGATGGACTTGCAACCTGTCGCTGCACAGTGATGGATGGATGGACGGACGGACGGACGGGTGGACGGATGGACAGAGGGACATACAGACAGACAAACAGATATACTGTATGGATAAAACCATCCATAGTCATACATGCCAAACTGCAAGATCAAGCTGCATCATTGTTACCATTTGTCACACTGTAAAGTTTATAATGGCCTTGGCTTGAGAAGAACCAGGTCGACTCCACTGTTGGCAGAAAAACACCAAAAAGAGATTGTAATTCACAAAAATACATGACAAGCTCCAGTTTTTTAAATCAATTTTATGGACTGACGAGACAAAATCAAAGTGTTTGGGCCAGTCACATCAGTTTTTTGTTGTTTATTATTTTATTTTTATTTGTATATTAGTTAAACCCCCTCATTATATTATGTTGGAAACTAGTTCAGAAAAGCCCTTAATAAAGAAAACATTGGAAGATAATGTATTTTTGTTCTAAAATTAGCAGTTTCACAAAATTTGTAGAGGTGTTTAATTAAAGGCTGAATGTTACTCATCAAATCTGGCTCAAAATTAAACTCAACTCCCCTAAGGAAGGATAGCTGTCTCATTTAATCACATCAATGGACCGGCACAACAATATTAACACATATGTTACATGCCAGGCACATTGGCATTAATGTTTTGCTTTAATAGATATGGTTTGAGTGAAGTAAACAGCCTTTAATTGTTTTGGGCTGTGGCCTTTTCTGCCCGCCCATAAATAGGCTGGTTTTGGGGAGCTCGCTCTCTCTTGGGCGCACTCTGCTTTTTGGTACTCTCTGATC